AAGAGAGAAGAGAGAAGAGAGAAGAGAGAAGAGAGAAGAGAGAAGAGAGAAGAGAGAAGAGAGAAGAGAGAAGAGAGAAGAGAGAAGAGAGAAGAGAGAAGAGAGAGAGAGACTAAATACTAAAACTTGAAAGAATCTTTCACAACAGAAATGTAAGTCTTTACCTTCTTTTCACCATCTGGTGAAACTGGCTTGGCTTGTGGTGGCAGGGGTGGGGGGTTGAGAGTGTGTGTGACCACAGTTCCAGGCCATGAGAAGATGAAATTTGGAGAGAAGGATGGTCCACACTGTCACAAGAAATAAGCATACTTTATGAACTTAATATTACCAGATTCCCCCTTTTACTTTAAACAAGAAGTGTAAGCTTTTTAGCAGGATGTTATTCCTTCATAAACAGCAAAATATAAATCAAAATCACCGACAAAGAAAATATAAAAAGCCAGCAGTCTTTGCACAGACAGCTACTATCCATCAAGATAGTCTTCTTATGTAGAAAAAAACAGAAATTACATCATTAATTGCATATCTCAAGCAGCCTCCATTAAAGACAAGACTTCAGATATGCAAACTATTACAATTACCCTGCAATTACTCCATAACAGTCTTACCATTGTGTAATTATCATCTCCATGGCAGTTTCCAACATTAATGGAAATCTTTGGCACAGTGACGCAAGAAACGGCAGCCATCATTGTTGCTCTTCCCTTCATAGCTAGATTGATTTCTTCTACACTCATGCTTGCCATCTGCGTCTGGTGTACTTTGAGCGGGCCAGAGTTCTGTGGACAAAATACTGAATGAGTAGTAAGGATTATATCATTAAAACTTAATGTAGGAAGTGTGTTAAACAGTTGTACATACATGAGCATGCCCGACACACACACACATACATATATCAAAATCCATGCATGAGCCAAAAAACTGCAGATACACATATTTTTTTTACCATCTACTCTGAATATCAATGAGGGTGTAGAACTAACCTGTAAGAATACAATGGGAAGGTGTCTCTGCTGACAGATCTGCACAAAGTGTGAGCCTTTCAAACCGTCTTGGTATGTCAGAGGTCCAGCATTACCAATGATGCCTACACATTTCCTGCAATGATAGCCATAATAGTACATCAATACAAAGGTAACACTTATGTGATCATACTATTATATCAACAAAATGTAGCAATGCAACAGATGAATATATGCAAAGTATACTGTTTCTGCTGCACTTCTGAAACTAAACAAAGATAAACAACCATTAGCTATAAAGAAAAGAAAGAAAGAAAGAAGGGAAACTTGGACAACCAACCCTTCAATGAAAGCATATCCTGTGGTGAGGTTCTTGCCGTACTGCTGCTTGAACTCTCGGAATCTCCCTCCATCAACGACCCTTCCAATCACTGCATACATCTTGCTACGGTCAATTACTTCAAGGGAACCCAGGGCTGGAACATGAAATAAAAGATGAAAAAAAAAGAAAGAAAATACCAAGGAACAAAATGCAAAAAAAAATTTAAGAAATATATAGAGAGAAATGGCAAATATGTGAGGAGTTATGTGAGGCTGGAGAGAAGAGAGAGCAAGGTAAAAGAAAACATCTATTTAACCCAATGTTGATGGGAAAATGGTGCATTCCCTTTGGCAATACTTGGTCACATGTTTCCCCACACATATGGCTCTGCCAATACTTAGCCATAAAGGAGTCAATTAGTAGATCTTACGACCTCACTTTTCCTTGAAAAAGCGGGAAAATGCTTTTTTTAACTAATGCTATCAATATTGACACTGTTATTTTTGTTATAAACATCGTAATTACCATATTGTTACTGACATTACTAACAGCAGTATTAAGTATTAGAAAATATTATTGAACATCAAGGAAAAGGATAAACCCGTGAGACAGGTAGTTCGTGCAATTGGCTCATCTATATGTATGTATACATACATATATGCATAGATATATATGTATTGATATATATGCATAGATTTGTATGCTTAGAT